CAAAGACATGTATCAGTGACAAGTCACCAGGGAGGCCATTGGTCTTACATAGTTAGAAAAAAAATTATAGTCTTAAAAACTAAAAAACACGCTTTCTATAGAAAACCAAACTTAAAAATAGAAAATAAATTTGAAAAAAAGCGTTGGGTGCCTGTTGTCAATAGTAAAAAGCACCCCACGCTTTTTTTCAAATTGTTTTTTTTTTTAATTAGTGTACTGTCATCGGTCCTCGATATATCTACAAAGTTTGAACGAATTCTGACCGTTCAAAGTCAGTCAAAATCACGCCCAAAGAAGTCGGTTACAAACATACAAACAAACATACAAGTGAAGCTAATATAAAGCGTGTAAAAATAGGAAAGTGCAAAACTATTTCGACGACATTAAATCGACAGTCTATTGATACAATATTAAAATATCAGAATCGAGGCCCAGAATATTAGCTTACTAAAATTAATTGTGTTTAGATAAAGTCTGTGTTATTTTTCGTCATCACATCTTCACACCACATCAACAACGTTTAATAGTCCACTGCTGGACATAGGCCTCTCCTTAGAAAGGAGGTGTTGGCATACTATACTACGCTGGCCAGACGAGTTAATATAGGGTTGGTGTCGAACTTGACACAAACCCTATATTAACTGAACAGGCTGAACAGAAATATTTCTTCTCGCAGTGCTGTTGACCTGCGTAGCTTGCTCCCTAAATTAACTTTAGCAATTTATCAAAAACTGATTCGGTGGTGCAGTGGTATCGTATGCGACAGCTGTGCTGAGGTCTCGAACTCGATTCGCGGGTCGGACCAAATGTTTGTAAATGATTTGCAATTATTTGTTTGGGTTTTCTATGTATGATATATATGTACGTACTTAAAAAATAAGTATGTAAGTATTCTATAAGTCAATCTAGCTTTCATAGTACTAGCTCTGCTTAGTTTGAAACTAGATGGCGTTATTATTATCATTTATAAGTTTCCAGTGAGAAAGCGATTTCGAAGTATTGTCTGGACCAAATATCGATTTTCTTCTACAATTTATTTTACTTACATACCAAGATTTTTAGGTATCATTTCTTTCGAAAGTATTTGTTGTTTTTTTTATTTAATTTGAATTGATTTTCTAGTATCAAAATGGAAAGTAATAAATTTCTAGTATCAATTTAATCAGCACATCATTAAGATGTTGTGATTTATTTGAAACTTGGAATTAGTTTTCGAATAGGTATAACTTTGGTTCGGCGCAAAACTGACTGAAATACACGTAAATTGTCTTATTAGTAATGTAGAATAGGTTTCAGATCTTAATACGTATTTAATATGTTATAATATAATGAAAAATCGTTTTATTTTTACTTATTGTTACCAAAAACTGGCAAAATTTGAAAGTCAATAACAGCAATTACACTGTAGGAAATAAAAATAACGTGCTGAAATTAAATCCTCGTTATGTGGGGACAAACTCCCTAATCAGCTCTGCTGGATCATGAGAGATGATTCGATGATGACGTTTCGATAGCTATAATATATTCATGCACGCAAATATTTTCACTGAGTGGAAATCGTACCTGGGACTGTCGAATGAGCGCATGAGGATAAATCTATACTAATATTATAAAGCTGAAGAGTTTGTTTGTTTGTTTGAACGCGCTAATCTCAGGAACTACTGCTCCGATTTGAAAAATTCTTTCAGTGTTAGATAGCCCATTTATCGAGGAAGGCTATAGGCTATATATCATCACGCTAAGACCAATAGGAGCGGAGCACCAATGAAGAATGTTTCGAAAACGGAGAAAATTTATTACTATTGAGAGACGCAGACGAAGTTGCGCGGGTCAGCTAGTCATCAATATTTTTGAAGTGATGAAGGCTTCATGATAATTGAAAACGAAAAGGCAAACGTTATAACCAGAGTTATATAATCAAATATATTACTTGTATAGTTTATTTTTAAGAATGAATGTTGTTATATACGCAATAGTAAGAGTACACTAAAAAATAAACAGTTGAGTTTCTATTTTGATACATAACTGTATCTCGTGCAAAAGTAATGAATAAATTTATTTTTACACTTAGAAGATTAATTTATTATCTACTTCCTTTTACATAAGCGGTTGTAAAAAGTTGTGATACTACACTTTCAATATCATTTCTTGTGTCTACTGTATAATATTTAAAGGATACACGATTTTACTCACGTGTTTTTAGAGAGGCCCGACTAGATAATATAATAATAATAATATCCTCACACATCTCACACACGGCTGTCCGATCCCAAACTAGGCAGAGCCTGTGCTATGGTAAATTAGACACAGAACAAACGATCGTGCTCAACACACAAATAGTTGTTCTGGGTGGGTATCGAACCCACGACCTCCAGTTTAGCAGTCAGGGTCACTAACCGCTAGACCAACGGGCCCGTCGGCTGTTTGATCGATGAATGATCGGAGAATGATCTCTGGAGACTGAGAGTCAAAAAGACTAATAAGACGTAATCGTATATGAAATATTGAGACTAATGACACATACATACCTAACACACATTCAAAGATTATTATTTAAGTCTGTAAATCGCTTAGAATTTACGTCCAGGTATAAAAATACCAAGTCACATGACTTAATTATGTGTATAATATTATTTATAATACTATCTGTACCCTGCCTCTGTATCTTCATTATTTGAGCAAATAGACATGTTTCGTGCTTAATATTCCAACTAATTAACGGTGTTGGCGGTGTTGATTATGAGTTAGCAAGTTGGCAACTCATCTAACGACTTGGTGCAATAAGCAAACAATTCTCAGGATAAGGTAACTTTCATTTTACTTCCTTAATGAAGGTCTTCATTACCGTAAGAGCTATTTTTGTCTTTACCTTGAAGTTAATTGTATGTTTAATTTGTGCATTATTGTTACAATAAATAGACTGACAAAGGCAGTAAGTTCACATCAAATTTTTGGGATTTGAGTGATATAACTACGGAGAACCACTGATAGACATACAGACCACCAAATATACTATACTAACACATATCGTACCACCATACCACCAAATACCGTACCACCATACCAACAAATACCCGACACTACAGTTTCTAGTGCAGCGAGATACAATTTCCAATTAAGTGGGCTTTGCTCACTTGCTTTGCTTTTTGGAAACTATTACTATAGGTTTAAGTTATTTGAGCAGTACATATAAGTTAAGCTTAAGTTATGGCTGAGCGGTATTAGTACCAAGTATTTATTTCCATAATCTTTGCTTATTTAGCTAAAGTAGAATCCAAACTGATAAAATTATTAGCTATTTTTATTAAAAAATCAGCATAAAACAAAGTTAAACTCACAATGCAATTCAAACCTTCACTAATAAATATTACAAAATATTCTCAAACTGGGGAAGTATAAATCAAAGTTTAAAAACTAGTGTGTCTTTTCTTGTAAATGAGTGAATATTTGTAATGACAAATATTTATAGACAATCGTTTGCAATCAAGCAAGTTGTAAGCCTGTTTACTTTTATTTAAGAATAACTTTCGACACTTTCTACACTGCTAATGTTTTATTTTTAACAGTTTAGAAGATTTACAGATTATAAGATAACCTAAACCTCTGGGTCGCAATTCCCAGGCACTATCGAAGTCGCATGTGTTGCCCCATCTATCACGCGATGGACCCGGCACTTGCACGGTGAATCCATGGAACACTAAGAAATAGGTCTTTAAAATCTGACATTGAAAGTATCCTACTTCTTTTTCGTACGGATATCCTCTGATACCAACCACCGGACCACCGGTAGAATAGATATATCAGACTCAAAGACTAAAAACCGGCTTGGGTACCACTAGCCGGCAACCAGATGTAACCTAGAAAAGGATTCCTTGGCACCCCGACTGGTCTTCAATGTACCTGGGAGAAGCTGCACACCAGCCTTAGATACGAACATAAGAAAGCTTAAAATAATAATATTTAAACTTGAACCGTTACATTTTTATTGTTACAATATTCTTATAATGTAAAAAATATTCCTTTGTCTCGGCCTCTACTTCGAAGAAAAATTCTGAATAATTACGCTAAATCTAGTGTTCGTACTACATCCAGCATCATTATTCAGAATAATAGAAATTGTCTGGAAATTTACTTGCCGGGGTCTCAGCGTACCCTACAGAGGAATCCTAGTGTGTCACCTGGCCTTTATTGAAAACAGGCAATTTCAAAACTAATGCTTCACGTTAGTGTCTACTTAGACGAAGTCGCGATCACAATTTTTGGCAATATTCGTATATTTGCTAACCACAGATGGTTTAAGATTGATATATACATAGATGAACTCTTTTGTACAAGACGAGATTAAAGTTAAGATTTTATATTTGACTATTTAAAGAAATATAAATAAGTTTTAATCACTGTTTTTCTTTTCACTTCAGAGCTTTTGAACAAATCTTTAATAATTGAGATGACGTAATCTAAAATTTTGCACAAAACTTAAAGTAAAGTATTACTAAGTACTCAGATTTGCCAAGGGTCCGTGAAATGGCGGGAAATATTTCGAATAAGTATTTTTGCTTAAGTAAAGCTCCGTTCTATTATCACAAAATGGCGGCGCCAAGATATGTAATTCTTCGTTGAATGGCTGTTACGAATGAAAGGGCAAAAGGTTCAGTCCGACTGATTTCCCTTTGTTACTATTACAAAGAATAAACTCTTTTATGAAAATAATTTTCAGTCAAGATATTGTAGCTTTATATTCACGTCTAAAATAAGGCAAATGTTAAAGAGTAGTTTAATAAAATGTTAGATGCGCTCTTATTGGATACAAGTGGCGAATTTCATTTGGAAACCAACCCAAAAATTGCTTAGTCGGTACTATAAAAGCACAGAACAGTAACTATTCTGTATTTAAAAGCTACGAGTCCATCTGTGATTAATTTCTAGACATTAAAAAGACAAATATTTACTCAGTTTCTTTACACCTCATTAGGTATTAAAAAAAAATGTTAGTCACTTACCAGACTTGCAGACACGGTACCGTAGGCCGCGGCCGCCTTTTGGATGGGTGCGGTTATATGTACCGAAATCACCGTAATTGTTGTTAACACGGCTGTAATCTGCTAAATGTCGATTGCCGTCTAAATGGTTAGGTAACGATCTGTTCCAACCCATGACATCTCCAACGACCGAACCGCATACCGATGACTCAGTCTGGGACTTTGTGTCGCCATTGCAAAGGTCGCCGCTTGAGCGGGCGCGGCGTCCCTTCAGGCCTTTGGAAGAGTGCTGGCTGATGTTCGAGCCCATAGCTTGGCGGGACCTCAAGGGGGTCCCGCCACCCACATCGCGGCTGCTTTCCCACTGATCAGTAGCCGTACAGTTGTTCCCACCTGTAAAATAAATAAAATATATTTAAAAAATAACAATAAATTCAAGGGTTTACGTAGCTTTTATCGTTTCCGCTATCTCATGCCGTCTTCGAACTGTACTATTATTAAAAATGCTGATTTTAACGTTCAACCTGTTTTTTTTGTAGTTAACATTGATAGAGAAGTAAGAAATAATAAGAAATAATGTTTTCTTCGTATAGAAAAAATATATTTGAGGGAATGATTTAAGATCATCTAATCTCCCGTCGGTGCATCAGATGTTGAAGTATCGTTTTAAAATGGAAACGAACATTGTGTGTATTAAAAAAAAGACTGACTTAACTTAACTGGTCTCAGAGTAGAACCAAAATTACATATGGGCCGACTCGACCAGAGACATTTCTCCGGTCGAGTCGGCCCAAATGTAATTTTGTAATAATATTAAACTTTATATCGGTTTTCTGAAACCCATGTAAAGTAATTCTTTCAATGCTTGCGATAGCCCACCAGTGGGGCTATTGGAGGAACCCACTCCTGCCAGTTTGTATTTCTAACGTGTTTTTAAATGTTTTAGAAATAGGAATCAAATATATAATACAATAAGATTTTAATTTCTCTGTGCGTTGGATAAGAAGAAAACTCGTTTTAATATTTTACGTAGTTGGAGAAAGTGTGAAATTTTAAGTCAAACGGAAATTGCACTTTTGATAGATGTTTAACTACATTTTATCAAACAGAAAATTATTCATTAAGAAATTTAAAAAGCACTCAAGAGAAATTAAGTTGTAACTCAATGAGGGAAATAAATTACTAGGCATTTGAATTAGGCAATACATCAACTATATCTTGTTGATTAACTAAATATTTGAAAACACACTTGATGCCATTTAAACACAAACTATGTAAATTTCGAACCTACTTATTAATTAAATAAATTTTAGCCGAAACTATTTATAATCAAATTAATTTCCTTTGAGTTGTTTCTCGAGATATATCCTCATTTATTCGCCTCCGAGGGTTGAAAACAAAATAGATATAAATTTATTGTTTGAAAAGGATGTTGAAGTTAGCAATTTATTATAGAATAAGTTATGTCCTCGAGATAAAATCAATTGTCCAGGAGAACAAAAACGCACATAAGTAACAGATGAATAAGAAATAATTCAGCCTTTAGTAGTCCACTGCTGGACATAGGCCTCACCTTAGACAGGAGGTATTGACCTACATACCACGCCACGCCAGATAGACCGGTTGTTACATAGTTTGTTTTAACTTTGCCATCTCTTTGCAGTGCTGTTGTTCTACGTAGTTTGCTCCCTTAGTAGGCTCTTACGACACCCACGGAGTGAATCGGATTGATAACACTCTGTATTAATACGTCACCACACGGACTATTCCGCTAAGGCTAACAGTTTTTGGGTGTACCTTCTGTGAGAGGAATAATTCTTCGATTCGAAAGTTTTCATAGCAAAAACTATTTGACAAGTCAATAACCTTTTATTTTTGTTGATGGGGTGGAAAATTCTTTGGGATCTCTGAGTCCTAGGGCACGAAAGAGCCAGCAGTATATGGTGTTTCCACTAAAAACCACCCTGACGGCCAGCCTTAGGCGCCCTACTCTAGGGAGGACCCGGACAATGTGATTTCCGGTCCCTCCCGGATCGACGCCGCACCTGCTAGGGGAGCCAAAGGCTTCCCTCCTCCTATCACTAAGTCTTGCGGCCCGGTCACATTTTGGTGCAATCAGTCCGCTAACAAGTACCGCAGTAATCAATCTGCCACCAGAGACCCCCCCCTTTATGGCGGCCCGCGGTTATACTGCCGCCGACGTGAGCAAGCCTGAAGCAAAGCAACCATGCCCAGTGAGTACCTCCCACTCTCATCCCGGCGGATCGCGCGAGTCTGGTCATAGAGCCACGCGTCCATATCCGCCAGGATATCAAAAGGCGGGAAACGTGACAGGACTGTCCCGCCTCCAACGAGATGGTGCGGTATCCACGTACGATCTAAATGACCGCTACCCGCTGCCCTTGATCGAGCTTAGCTCGGCAGCGGGAGGAGACAAGTCAACAACCTAGGTACTATATGGTTACATACAGCTGTTTAAGTAGTTTTATTTATTTTATTGGTATAACTTAGAACATATATGACACATTGTATTTTTTCTACTGTTATATATTACATACTTAATATGTTTAACTACAAATCATTTTCTACTACGACTTGATCGAGGGATAAATTGTTCTATTCATTTTTTTCAATTTGTTTCTTTATTTTTCCCGTCTTGTAAGGTAAAAGTTGGTGGATTGAAGTGTTATAAATAAGCATTTCTGAGTAATGAGTTTAGCATATTAATATTGGAAGATTGATAGTATTGCTTTTCATAATTTGCAAATTAATGGCAAAAATAATTAAAATTTGGCCAAGATTTAGTTTATTTACATTTCATTTAATTACAATTGCTTGTGTCCGTATATAAAACGAACATGAGAACGGAACTAGCCAAGCTTTAATTAGTTATAATGATTGATCTACCCGAATTCGTTATCATAATGTGCTACTACCTTTTTTAAATATTTACCCACGCAAAAAATCTGACATTGTAAATACAGATATGAAAACTTTCTCATTTCGTTCTCACGCCAATTCCTATCGTAATCATCTGAATATGTAAACACATCAGCCATTATATTTACATATTGAGTCATTACATTTAATACAGCTCTGGTTAATTCTCAATATACCTACTTAGCTATACGTTTAAATGCGTGACATGAAATTCTTATGTAATCATCTTTTTTATTTAATACTAGCTGCGCCCCACTGTGTTACTCGCGGTTAATCAGATACACTAAAATTTCCCACATGGACACTTATTTTTTTTCTGTTAAAAAGTAGCCCAAGTTTTAAACCAGGGTGTCAGCTACCTCCATACCAAATTTTATCAAATGGGCCCAGCCAGTTTGAGCGTGAAGAAGTGACAAATATACAAACACACACACTAACAAACTTTCGCCTTAATACTAAACATTAGTGTGATGAACCAAGAAAGCTATCACATATTTATATATGTCACATTGATCGATTGATCGAATTTAATGGGTACATGACCATAAAACGCTTTAAAATTCTTTTGAGGTTATTTCGCTTGAATAAAAGGTATATAAATTCACAAGAATTCAATAACAACTAAGGAAATTAAAGGGGTATTCTCACATTTCGAAATTAATTTCCGCACAAGCGATTTAGTTATTTCCATAATTGCTTGGCATATTTTCAGTTCACCGAAAATATCGACAATATTTAATGAGAACGTTGTGCGGTGGCCTATGACGTGCCTACTTCCGAAGATTTAATAATGAATCTTTCATGCGCCTGGCGTGAGTTCATTAACAGCGGCGAGTTGACCGCTATCACAAATGCCAACGCGCATTTACTATTTCTGTGGAAGGTATAAAATATGTGGAACGATGCGTCGCCTTAAGGCTTTACGTGCTTTCCTAGCAATACAAACAAGCGTGTTTAATTACAGTCTCCACCCGGCTTCTTCTGTGTCGATGTTGATTGTGCGTTTTTCAACATACTATGCATTTAGCAAGCTGTTATGAGATGGTTATAGAATTTCCGTAATATAGGAGCACAATATTGCGTACTTACATCTTGTGTTTAAAAATAACAGTCAAGGAGTATAAAATTATTTTAATATCAGAATTTTCTAATACAGAACCTACTTTGTCACTATGAACACAGTCTTTGCATCTCAAAATGTATTAAATAGAAAAAAGTGATGTGATCCATATACGGACAATGCAATAATAATTAATAAAATGGAAATGAATGTAGTAAGTAATCTTAATTACACAGAAAATACGGTAAAGGACGATTTTGACATAACGGGGTCTTAGTTGCTTAGTGTGCAATTTAATTTGATTGAATAATGATTACAATGCACAATTTAATATTTTATATATGTTGTTCAAATTTAAGGAGCAGTTTTGCATATTATACTTATATGAGTAAGAAAGGTAAATGCAGGACATCGAAACGCTAGGCAACGCCTTTTTAATATTTTTTTGTAAAAAACTTGTAATATCAAAATTTTATGGCTTATATGATAGATGTTCTTAACAACATACTAACAGATAGGGCAAACTTTGCAGATAGTAAGAATTCAGCGGGTAATGGTTTTTACGTTAAATGTTTATTAATGATTTAGAAAAAAAAGTATAGCTACGTGTAGTTTCTCTTTTAAAAAGACATGAATTCGCATAAAATACGTTTTAAAACGAAACTTTTTTTAATTACACACGAATATTACTACAACTCTGCACCTTAATTAATTTTTAACAGTTACTCTAACTCAATAACTTAAAATTCAAGTACATAGTACATATGTTATAACTATCTCCTGATATCGGTACTTAAAATAACTTTTAATATTAAGCTTAGAGGAAATATTTACTTAGTTATAGTAATTTTATACAAATCTTTCGGGGTTCGGGGTTTAAAATTAAAAAAAAATTCTGTCCCTTAAAAACATTACTTTTTCTGGGTCAAATGTACCCGATATCATTTTTTATTCGTGACAAGTGTACACAAAAAATTGTGGTAATCCGTTGAGTGGTTGGGCGTAGAAGCGTAAAACACGAACAAACTCACTCTTGCATTAATAACAGTTAGAAGTTAGGACGAATTAGGATATATAGGGTTAGAATAAGTATAACCCAATTCACAATCAAGAGGCCACATATAATTTTAAACTTCACACACCTTTAACACTAGTTGACAACACATCAATTTGTGAAAAACATATTAAATACATTATACTTGAATAAAAAAAGACTGCAACAATAAACGCGCTTTCTGCTAGCACTGACTCACTTCACAATAACCACAATCTTGCGTTTTAATTAAATTATAATCTGAATATTATTTTATATTTTGAAGTTCATTAAATCAATTAGTTTTTTAATTAATTTTTTTAGTCGTTATTACCGGGGATTATGGAATAGAATAAAAATAAACTTTATTCTAGACCAATTAAAATTTACTATTACATAAATTTTATAAACAGTATTTCATAATTCGTTACGTAATCAAGAAGTATGTACAAGTACAACGATAGAACGAACACAAATAGCAGTGGGTTTCGTACAAAATATATCTTACAAGGTACTAGGTAGGTAGGTAGGTACTACATGAAACTGTTTATTTTTTTTTCTGTGTATTCTTGTCTGTTTAATTTTTTTTTCTGTGTGAGATCCAAGCTTCAAAACAAACAGGCCGGCTCGACACACGTCACAAAAAACCGGAAAAACGATTCATCTGAGTGAGTGAGAGTACCGGAGACCTAGAGCTGCCCCTGGTTCATGTAACACACTCAAAGGGAGGCTACGCACTTAAACATAGTTTAGATGGAATAGAATCAACTTTATTGTACACCAGTTTAGTACATAATATATACAATAGTATTTCAAGTTAATGACCGTGTACAAATGGCGGCCTTTTCGCTAAATTTCTTACAGGCAACCTTTGGATGGACAAATTGACTGTAGACAGATGAAGACTTCTAGTGATAGGCGTGGGAAAGTCCCTGGCTTAGGGTCTAGTTAGATGCGGCGTCGATACGGGTGGGACCTGAAATCACGGTCCGGGTTCTCCCCAGAGTAGAGCGATTGAGACCGGGGTCGAGGTGGGTTTTAGAGGAAACACCACATACTCCTCGCTCCTGCGTGCTCTAGGAGTCGGAGTTCCGAAGGGATTTTCCAACCTTAATTTAAAAAGATAGATGAGGATAGATATCGTGACCCAAAGTTTTATCATCTGTTTGCTGCCGACTTCTATTTAATTTGGATTGATTAATTACTTGCGTCCGATTTTTTTTACATTGTGTAGCTTCGTATGTTAACTATATAAAATACCAGCTTTTGCCACCAGCTCCGTCCACGGGTAAGTCAATTTTCGCGGTAAAAAATAGCCTACGTTACTATATGATAATGTAGCCTTCCATTGGTGAAATAATTTTTTAAGTCGATTCAGTAGTTTTGGCGTGAAAGCGTAACAAACAAACAAACAAACTCACTTTCACATTTATAACATAAGTACTGCATGCACACAAGTCTGTCTTTTTTTCTAAGTTTGTTTTATATTTTGTATTGAGCTACATTGATAATATAAGAATGTAATATAAAAAGAACATTCCATTCATATGCGCGAACCGTTTTACTTTCACTTTCATTGTTACTATAAGTGGAATCCTTTTGAGAGTTCTGCTGTACCGCCTTGTGAGATGTCACGAAGAGCATAATGAAATAGCCGAAAACTGAGCACACATAACTTATTGTGTGGACATCGAGAAATAGTGTCAACCCTAACCATCCAACCATAGTTCTGCGACCAGTTCCTATACGAGGATAAATTATCTATGCGATTGGCAACGTCGATTTACAATTAAAAACTTACCTTCTCATATAAGTGAAGTTATTTTGTTAATATCTTATAACTAACATTCCTGTATGTTAAGTAATATAAATTAGGATTTTCACTAAATATAAAATGGTTGACGCTATTTTCCTGGATACCGGTAAATGTATACAATTGTAACTAAAACGTATTAGATAGATTAGAAACGAGAAGAAATTAGAAAATGTATTTTTATAATAATTCAAATTTTGCAAGAACTTAAGATTTTCATAGTAACTTGAAATTACTCTAGGATAGAGATGTAACAGACATGTAAAAAGAATTAAAGGAAAGAATACTGACCCAAATAAGCTGACTATTCGTTATTTTATTATTTGTAATTAGTTTGATGACTGTAAAGTCAAATCAGTATCTTTTTAGTAAACGTCAAAACGATAGACGCGGGCATTCTTTGTGTGTAAATATGGTGTTATTAATTGTTGATTTGAAGATATAAAAACATTTAATTGACTTTGGACGATTCAAGCTGTACTCTCTGATATTATATTCAATAATTCAGGCAAAATAATTTGTTTTAAAAGTAGGAATCTACTCTATTAATTAATTGATTGCTTTATATTATGTAAGAGAAAAACAACACTCCATTGTTCTATTTCAGAAATGTAATGCCTCGTTGGTAATTGTTCTGAGATTACGTTCTATTTAAATCAAGCGCGTACCATAACGACAAAGATTTAAGTATTTCAAGTTTATTTGAAGAGATTAGTTATTTTTTAAATATTATTATGTGGCTTACAATGGTTCGGAAGTAAATAGAATTAAGGCTAACCAAATAAAGTAGTATGTAAGTAAGTTCATCCGTAACGAAAGCTGATTAGTGATTACAAATCAAAAATATCATTTTATTACTGGACATATAATGATTTCTATAAAAGCTAAACAGTATTAATGGTGACATTTCTGTGCTTTATCGTCATCATCAACGATTTGGCATGACTTCAGGGGCCCAAAAATGAATTAAAAGGTTTCTGTGAACCATATTCTTAATATAACTAAGTAAACATTAAATTATTCTACAGCCCTCCCCTCGACTTACGTTACTGACTTTACATGTTCAACAATTTTGACATTCAACTCAGGGTTGAGGAAGGAAATGAAAGGAGAGTTTGCTACAAAGAGCAAAGGGATTTTAGCGTCAATTTAGATAAAACTTGTAACATTTCAAACAGGAGATGGCATGAAGGCCGCTTCTCGTTCACCAAAT